TCCATTGGGTCGTAGGCTTGCAATCCCTGACTGACTGTCCATCTGATGGAAACTAAATGGAAGTGATGTGATAGTCTATCACTGATAGATGTGACAAAGTATTGGCACTAATCTTAAGTGGACAGTCAGTGCACTACTCTATGCACCTGTTGTAGGCTTTGAAGCATTTATCCGATTTCTTCTCAATTCAAGTCCACATTCAGAGCACATATATATCGCAAGAAGAGGTTAACGAATAAAATAACCGCAAAAACTGATGAGTGATTCAATGCTTCACTCGATTATTGATTGGATATATCGACAAAAATAAGGAAAAACAAACAAAACACTATAACTCTAACTCAAACATCAATTTTTAATGAATACAATCTAATTATGTGAATATATTCTCGGATTAAACTCCGCTCGCAATCCATTCAATCCTAACATCAAATTAAACTCAAAAATCGTATTATTATTAAATCACAGATACTTTTGATTAATGAATTTCGTGTAAGAAATAGAGATTAAAATAGAATGTAATGAATAATGTATAGAAAGTAATAGTTATTTTAAAATTTACAAAAATATTGTTGCAGAACTTACAGTAAATTTATATATAGTTACATAACATAGAAACAAATAGAAAGTTTATATGTTATGTATATTTGTTTACAAACATCAAGCAATAAAAAAGATAGTAATGACTATAATTGCTTAAAAATTTAAGAAAATATTTGTGTTGTGTATTTACTTAAGCAAAAACCCAATCCATTGTCAACACAATTGTGAGACAGTATTGCAAAAGAGGACTAACATTATTAGTGAAGTAATATTCCAGTTATGCTAACGTCTACTCCCGTAGGCATCGAAACTAATGTCGAGTGAATGCATTGAAATATGCGGACAAAGTTTTCCATACAATTGGGATTTGTCCTAATGTTAAGGGATTGGGATTTGTTGTCAAAACTTATATAATGCAACGTAAAAGCTCTTTACTTCAAAAGTGAAGTTTCACTTATTTTTGCCGCATTTACTTCCACTAAGACTTCCAATGAGCTGAAGGTAAAGACAACATAAAAAGTGGTCTCAACTCTAGAGTAGAGTTAGCTTTAGTTTTTAAGTTTTAGTTTTTTTATTTAAAAAAACATCCTTAAAAATTCAATTCATATAAAGAATTGAATGGTCTGTGCGTTGAGTGTATTTATATGATCTGTAAAAACCAGTATCACATCCACCACTACTAAACTGAGCATCACTTCTGGTGTGTGTATCCACTGCTGGTCGTCGCACAGCAAATGAATTATAGAAATAAAAATGTTTAAATTATAAATAAATGTTTGTCCAGTGATTATCATGTGTCTAATGTGTGGCACTATCTGTGGTTCTCATGACTTGTGTTGCGCTTCCATACGAAGATTGTCGTCGAAAAAAATACTAAAATAAAATATGAATTAGAAATGCATTTAATTAATCACGCGATGAATGGCTCAGTCAGTCATCGACTATACATATAATTGTATGGAATTAGAGGACAACTTCTCCATCTTCTCCCACAAAACAACATAAGATAAGAGCTAATGAATGGTTCATACAATTCGTACAATTGCTCAAACAATTCAAATAATAATTACATTAATTACAAACGCATTCATAAAACGTTTCCATTTAAAGGCTCCGTTTGTCATACAATTTTCATTTGATTCACGAACGGCTTTACAAAACAGCATTCAAAAGCATTCAAAACTAATTAAATATTATATTGTATATCATATATGATATACAAATTGTTAGTTGAAAAATATTAAATACTGGGTATTAAATGCTAAGCCTCTGAATGTTGTTATAAATGATATATTCGGCAAAAAGTGTTTATTTCAGTTACGATTACTTGAATAACAAAATCCAAAGTCACGAATAATAACGACGAGAGAAACCTTTAAACCCATTCTCTTCTCCACTATTTGTTTAGCCAAATAGTAATGAAATGTGTTTACAATCAAAAGTATTTAATTGAAAAATCTTTTTATTCGACAAACATATCACTAAAACTACTGTTTATTTGGTGAAAACTATATGACAGGTTTGATCATTAAAAATAAACGCCCGGACCTAATGTCAAATCACTGGTTCGGATCATTAATTATAAATCCTTAGAGTATTTTTCGCTGTGAACTCATTGCCAAAATGTTGTCCGCTTTTTAGGGAGAGTGAGGTCTCAGCTCTTAATCACAGATTTAATTAAAAAATAAACTTATCTTTAAATTTAATGGTCGCTTAAGACAATACTCACCACTCTATGGATACAACTGTTTGGCCACAAAAAATGACTTAAAAACGAACTCAAGATTATATCTAATTAAAGCTTAAGTCCTATGGCTTTAAATATAACTTCTAAACCGCATTTCGACTTCAATTTAATCACAATTTTTTGTGAATGAAGTGAACGGAGAGGTCAATGGGCTCTGGGCTTACAGATAGTGACTGTTGAATGAAAGCGCATCCAAAGCATACAGTATTTGGTCACTCAATACATCTGTTGCCAAATCACTGTCGAGTGTCTGTCAATGCATGTAATCATCACTTTGATTGCCATTTGAATTGATTCCAAGACATTATATTCTTCGTATAGCAATTCAAACCATTTCGTAAAATATTTTGCTTAAAATGTTATAAAAAACTAATTTATTACTGAAATTAAAAGTTTGAAAGTTTACATAAAAATGACAAATTAAAAGCAAATCTTATAATTTTTGCGTAAATATACGTTTAAAATCATTAATAACTGATTAAAAAGCAGTCGATAAATAGCCAGGGGTTCGCTCGCGGATCCACATCATCACCAAATACTACAACTCTTTAGGTTTTGATCATTTTGTTTAAATTTCTAAACAAGTCTTTGGCATATAATTATTCACTGAATAATGGAAAGCAATAATAATCTCTGATTAATAATCAGAAAATTGTTTTTTTTATAAATCAATTTTTTATGTTTTGCTTTGAAAAATTTAAATACCAATGATTTATACCGAGTCTTATATTTTATAACTTATAAAAACAAACACCGATATTAAACGCGAGGTATTTATAATGTTTTTGTTGTTTTGTTTTGTGTTTTTCATGTCTTGAATAAATTACTTGATAAATGAAAACTAATGAAGAAATCTCTCTATTATACATGATTTAAAAGCAATAATTAAATGAATGTAATAATTAAAATATTATCGTTAAAGTCTTAATAAAACTTTGACAGCATTTTTATATAGAGTTGTTATGAGCGATATTTATTCATTCAATGAAAGTTTCTTTCACAAGAAAGAAATGCACAAAACATTTACATAATTATAATACAAAGCAATAAACTTAAAGATCATAACAGCAATTAAATTATGATTATCTCTGAAAATTAGCGCACATACGAGTCGTGGAAAAATTGTCATTTTATACATTGGTTTTTGAATTCAAAATATATTAATATTTTCTTTTATCACTTCTTTAAGGAATGGTTTCGAGTGTTAAGAATCTTAATGTCGAGGAAGAGTTCTCTCATATAGTTTTATGAAAACAAATAAAATTTAATTTAATTGTAATTTTGTAGTTAAAGTATTGTTTTATAAAAGTATTTGTGAAACATTTTCCAGTGTATTAGTGAATTGATTACTAATAAACTGCTTTATTTAATCACCAATTATACAGATTAAAAGTTACAAATAACTGAAATATTTATAAACATGTCATTAAACTTCAATTAATTAAAACTTAATTGATTTTAAAAGTATTTTATACTTAATACCTAATATAATGAGAAAATTTACTAATAATTCATTAAATGTTAGAGCATTACGAATATGACAGGGCATCACAAATTAAACACAAATGAAATGATTGCATAACTTAACTGATTATAATAAAACTACTCTCGATGTTAGCTAATACTGAGAAAACAACGTATCCATACTGTAAATAGGATAACAGGTAATAACCAATATATTTACTCCAAACTCATTGGCTTACATATTGAAAAGGTAATAAAAGTTAAATCATTGTGAGCTTAGATGTAGTGTTCAAAAGGTGTGAAATATGCATTTAAGCCGAAATGTGTAATTATAGTCAATAAATATTACATTCAGTGATCATTGAATTTATATAATGATCTGTTATAGACATACAGACGGTGTGCCAGACATACAGATCATAAGTTCCGCACTTTTCTTATTTAATTAAACACCGAATGAATTGTGAATTTTAAAAATATTCGTTCAGTTATAAAGGATATGAAATTTTTCTCACACTTTCGGTTCGAAGAAAAATTAAAAAAATAATAAAAAGTTTTGCAAAAAAATATATGAATGCCTTTCGGAAGAAAAAGAAGAAAACGAATGATTAAGTGAAACACACATATAGACAGAGAAATAAAATATAATTTCTCAAATGTGTTAGTGATGTCCGTATGGGAGACGGGTCTGGAGGACGACCAACAATAGGATTGTTAATAATCTTTACCACTTTTCACCATATTTTGTCATCTAATTGAGAGCCCCCTCTAAGTTACATATAATTTACCTGCAATACAGCAAAACAGTTATGCATACAAACAGTTTGGCAGTGAAGGCAGTGTTAGGGCAGAGAATGTGATGTATTGTTGAGTGAATGCAAGCGTAGAGCGAATGTCACGTAATCTGTGTTTTGAATAATGTTTTGAACAAAACGTGAGTTTATTTTGAAATTCAAAACGATGCATATCATCCCTTGGGGGTGCCTTATAGGTAGGGTCAGGCGTGATTCCTCCCCCTGTCGTTCATATAGTACGTGTTTATTAATACCTATGTGAAAAACCACTTATCTGTAGCACACAAAACATTAAGAGATAAGTGGGTTTTTCAAAGAGATATTTATATAAACACGTATTATATGAACAAAAAGGGGTGAAATTTATTTTACCCTTTTTGAAGGTACCAAACTATGAAATGAATCGAAATCTGTTTTGAATCCAAAGAGTCTTTCAAACGATTGGAAACGAAATGTCAGTTCATATGAATTGGAGTTATGTTTGCCATCAGATGAGCCAATCATTGCTAACCAATGATCACTTCGTCCAACACTTCCACACATTGTCCACCAATGAAGACAAAGTGTCGCACTGTCTCTCACAGCCACACGTCGGCAAACAATTGGATCAGTTCTTGAGCGTCACTTCGGCCGCAAAACATCGCAAGTATTGGGAAAAAGCCAAAGAGTTTCGCATTGAAGGCAATCACTCTTTCAGAGGGAAGCGCTTCCAGGAGGCCATCGACGAGTACACTCAGGTATGGATCAGCTGTTCGGCGATTCTTGTGGTGATAATTAACAATTATGTTCACTCCAATCGCAGGCCATAATCACGGCATCGCTTCCCAACTCGAGTGACACCGCGGAAGCAAATGGAGAGTTATCTCTTGGATTCGCGAACCGATCGGCGGTTTTCTTTCAGTTGAAGCAATACGACAACTGTTTGTCTGATATTAACAATGCATTCAAATACGACTACCCATTGAATGCCACGAAACTGTTGCTCAGAAAAACCAATTGTTTGGTAGCGAAGGCCCGCTTCGGTGACGCCAAGACTGTCCTCCAGAGCGTGGAATTGAGCGGCGATTTGAATGACAAACAACTGGAGACTCAGATCAACAAATTGTTGGAAACAATTGACTCAAAAGGAGCTAAAAATCGGACCAATTGTGTGAATACATCTAAACCGAAGACTGATCTCAAGTTTGTGAGCAATGAATTGATGCCAAACGCGAGTCAATCGCTTCGGTTATGTGAGTCTCCGACAAAAGGCCGACATATTGTGACCAAAGATGACATCAATATCTCTGATGTGTTATTTATGGAGAAACCGTTTTCATCGGTTCTTTTGCCGCAATATTACAAAACACATTGTCATCAATGCTATGGAAAACTGGTGGACAGACCAGTGATGCCTTGCCTTAAGTGCACTCAAGTTAGGTATTCGTCGCTACTCACGGCCAGACTACCGACCCTACTCACGGTAGTTATGCTCACGCCTATAGACCTACAGAATGTACTGTATCCTTAGCGAGTGAACCGGAAGTCTTGGGATAACCAGACACCTCAGCTCAATGCCATCCAAGTGGCCAACAATTACTCTCTTTCCCAGTCGTCGTCCACTCCTTATAAAAGTGATTATCAGTCGGTATACGCTTTGGTCGACCACTCGAACGACTTTGCAATGGAGGACAGTATCAGCTATTCATTGGTCGCATCGCTTCTTCTGCTTTTGACACAAAAGTTGCGATTAATTCCTAAAGAATCGCAAAGTTTTGAGTTATTGGGAGGAATATTATTGAAACATATTCTTCAACTCATAACAAATGGTCATTCAATCGCTTCATTTGAGATGACTTCCGATTTTAGTTTTGAAGACAAACGAATCGCAACCGCTATTTATCCGACCGTTAGTCTAATGAATCACTCGTGCGATCCAAATGTGATTCCCCTCTACGACAAGAAGATGCTTATAGTGAGAGCCGCCAAACCTATAGCCAAAGGACAGCAAGTAATGAACTGTTACGGCCCTCACTGTAAACGTATGACCACTAAAGACCGTCAAACGGCTCTTTTGGAGCAATACTTCTTCAAATGCGATTGCAGTCCGTGTTTGAGTCAAACTGAAGACACGAGTTCTGCTTTAATGTGTAGTCAATGCAAAGAAGCCATTGTTGTTGACGAAGCAAAAGATACTGTCGTTTGTATTAATTGCAAGAAAAGTGATTTTGATATCAAATCGATGCTTAAAGAAGTGGAAAAAGGACTTAAACTGTTGAGCGATGGCTCCAAACTGTGTGACAACGAGAAGTACACAGAATCAGAGGCCGTACTCTTGGATGCGCTCAACACTCTCGAGAAAGTGCTTTACGCCAAGAATCGAGAGTTGGGACGAGTAAAGGATGAATTGAGTCGTTGTTACGCCCGACAACACGAGTGGTCAAAAGCGCTTGACTTCGGGCGACAGAGCGTTGACATTGTTGTGGAAGTGTTCGGCGACTCGAGTGTTGAGATGTGCAACGAATTGATCAAATTAAGTGATTTGGAGTTCGAGTTCTTCAACGCTAACCTCTCCGTCGAAGAGAGTATCAAAGGCGCCACCGATTGTCTTCGCACGACTTCCAACGCTATTAAATTGTTGACCAATTATTCGGTTCCCGACGACTACGACAGTCCGCAGGCCATCGAAATCGGACGACTCGAAGAGAGGCTCTTATACTGCGATATGTTCTCAAAACAATTTTATAAAAAATGAATATTATTTTTGTAGAATTTATTTATTTTTTATTTACATTTAGAATTTATATGTATTTTATTTCAAATTTTATTTACAAATAAAATCTAAATTGTTTTTCAAATATAATTGTCTGTGAAAAGTGTTGGCGTGTAATAGAGTTGGGATGTGTTGGCCGGAGTGGCGAACTTCACCGGCGATAGTCATGTAGTCCTGTATTGTATGCAAAGGGCGTGAATATAGTGTACGTATTGTGTGAATGGACTGTGAATTGGGATTTGTTTACAAATGAAAAACACATGTTTTGAATGCAATTATAATTTGATTGAAATTAATTGTGAAATAAGTTTTATATTTATTAAAAGTGTTTGATTTGTGGTGTAATTGACTTAATATACAATAGAAATGCAATGTATTTAAGGAGATATATAAAAAGCGTTCATTTGCTGTAAGTTTTGGCACAAATTTGCGAAACAAAAACTATTGATAACAATGTTTTCGTGAATTAAAGGGTTTATCGCCAGAAGTGTGTCAATTGGTGCCAATTGGTGGCCAACAGAAGACATTTCGCCGACGATAGCGATAAAGATAATGATAAAAGTGTGACCATTAAAGAGGATAACGTTGTCGACAACGCGTCCCATAAGAGAGATTCAACCGGAGATGACGGCCGGCGAAAGAGTGACGACAAAGTGGTTGTCGCCAAACATAATCTCAATGAATTGATCCAAACGCTGAAGTCGAAGGATATCTTTGGCAAACCGGACGATAAGTTGCGCGAAGTGTTG